CTACCGCGGCCTCGGAGGCAGGTGCGGCAGCCGCGATCTCCTCGGCCGTCGGCACGCGGCCAAGTCGCTGGGGCTGGCCAGCGTAGGGCCTGACCTGCGGTCCGCCGCCCTCAGGTGGGACTGGGACCTCGGCGGCAGCTGCTGGGGTCCTCGCCGCCGCCATCGCCGTCTGCAGCATCGTCAGCATTGCCGTCAGGCTGCTGAGCTGGGCCGTGAGCGACGCCTGGCCGTTCTGGAGCTCCGCGATGGCCGCCAGCTGCACAGGCATGCCTTGAGGCGTCTGAGGCGTCACGCCTCCAGCCTCAGGCGTCCGCGTGCCCTCCACGTACGCGCCCATGTCCACGTCGCTAGCTGCTCCTCCAGCTGCATGGCCTGCCTGCATCGCCTCGAGCTGGTCCAGCAGCATATTGGCCCTGTCATGCTCCATCTCGCGCTGCGTGCACTTCGACTGGGCCTCTTGTAGTCGTTCCTGCGCCTTGTCGACCGCCTCACGGGCACGCTCGAACTTGCCAAGAGCCTTGGCGACGTAGGCTCGTTGGCGGTCACAGCGCTCACCTGGCGCACGGGCCGTGATGATCATGCAAAGCTGGACGCTGTACTCTCGCTTCTGACTTGCGATGATCTCCTCCGATGCCCCGAGGTCGATTGACGCTTGAAGGCGCTTCCCTGTCGCAGCTGCAATCTGCCGTAATGCTCGCCTGTGCGCCGCCAAGGCGCGCTCGTCGCTGGGAGGGTCAACCCACGCTGGGTGCTGCCTTGCCTCCTGTGGCAGCGCGGGGAGGATCCCGAGCGCCGGGCTGCGCATCTCCTCGTCGGCATCCGAGACGCCATTGCCGTCAGGGTCGGGCTCGGGCTCATCCGCGAATCGTACACGCGAGCCCGACCTCGGCCGCTCCTCTCGCCTCTCTCGCTCACGCCTGCGGCGGCGAGAGACGGAACGTCGGCGGGTTGGCGTCCCTGGTGATGTCGAGCTCCGTCGGCGGGGGTGCACCTGCTGCTGCTGCCGCTGCTGCGGTGGGCCTCCATGCCCGCCTCCTCCGACTGGGCCCGAAGGGCCTGGGTAGCAGCACCTGCATAGCCTTTCCTGTGGGCCGTTGAAGCCACCACAGTCGTCACACCACCAGCCTGGCGGCGGGGGCGGGGGCACGCCCTGCCACGGCGGGGGGGCGGTGCCGCCCGTCGCGCCCGCGCGGCCCTTGCCGCTGCCTCCCTTGCCCATGGTGCTGTTGTGTGCGGCAAGGAGGCGCGCGGCCGCCGCGACCCGCAGCAGCGTGCGAGACTGCGCCCGCCTCAGGCGCGCTCGCCTATGCCACGCGGGTTCGGCGCGCCCGCGCCTGGGAGGTCCAGCGCCAGCGAGACCAGCAGGATCGCCGCGAGAGCGTGCGCGGCCAGCCGCGGGCCGCCCGAGCGCGGATCGCGCGGGACTGGGGCGCGGGCCAGCGCGCGTGGCTGCCACCCCTGAGAGGTCGCCGTACCTGGTACGGTACCCAAACCTCTCGAACCGGGGCGGCGGCTGGAGGGAGGGAGGGAGGGAGGGAGGAGGAGGAGGGAGGAGGAGGACAAGGAGGAGGAGGAGGAGGAGGAGGAGGGGAGGGGGAGGGAGGGTTAGGCCCAGGGAGAGGGCGGGAGGGGCCCATGCCTCCCCTCGCTTTGGGAAGGAAAAAACCGCGGGGGCTGGCAGGGATCGTGGCCAGAGGCACGCGCATAGCCCAGGGGGCGGGGCCAAGGGACCCACCCCAGGCACTTCTGCTGGGCAAATGTTCCACCACCACTACCATATGTAGGACGGGGGAGGAGGGAGGATGAGGAGGACCTCCTCCTCCCTCCTCCTCCTCCTCCGCCTCCTCCTCTTCCTCCTCCTCCTCCGCCTCCTCCTCCTCCTTTCCTTCTCCTTCTCTCCCCGCTCCTCTCCATCCTCCTCCACCTCCTCCTCCTCCTCGTCCTCCTCCTCCTGCCTCTCCTATTGCTGGTAAAGGTAATGGAAAATGGGCCCGTAAACGTTCTTACTCTGGCGGCGAGGCATAACGACTGCACCAGCGGAAGAGCTAAAACCAACCCCCCTCGAGTCTTGAAAAAATCACGGCAGACTGTTGTGGAGTCGCTTTCGGCTTCCGGGGCCCCTTACCGCGCCTCGGGACCGTCCAGAAACGACTCAGGCTGAAAAACCGGTCCCAGGAAATGGATCGAGACCTCCAGAGTCGGCGCTGAAAAGAACATGACGTCGGGGGTCTGGGAACGGGGACACCGAGGAGCGAGTGGCCCAGCGTACACGAGGAGAGAAGGAGACAGACGGGGCGGCCGCGGAGGAGGGGGCACTCAGAGGCGGAGGGCTTCCGACCGGAGACGCGCCCCGGACACGCGGCGTCTTGCTTTAAAATTGTTCCCAGACGGGGCCCCCGGAAGTCCCGACCCATTTTGACGGTCCTGAGATTAAGTCGGGCCTGTCCCCCTACAGGGGGATTTTCGACGAAAAATAGAAAATACCCCAAAACTAGCCCAAAAATAGTCCAAAAATAGTCTGGGGACTATTGTATGAAAATTTGTTAACCTTTTGGGGGTATTTTCGGGGTATTCTATATTTTTCGTCGAAAATCCCCCCTGTAGGGGCACACGCCCGACATAAGTCTTGGGCCCGGCGAGGGCCCCCGGATGCTTTTCTCCACGGCGCGAACACATCCCTCGCCATCGCTCGGACGTCCATTCCTGTGTTTGTTTTGGTTTCGTGCGTGGCTTTTTCGCCCAATGATCAAGGATGCTCCTCAATTGCCCTCGCGGAAGGAAAAATGCACACGTCCGAGCGATGCCAAGATCCAGGACGGGAGCGAGAGACGACGGGGCCACGGGGCCACGGGCACGCGTCGTGGCCCTGGCCACCGCACCCGAGGCCGAGGGGGGGGGAACGGCGCGCCCCGCCTGCTGCAGGATGTCCGGGATCCCGTCCCGGTCGAGGTCGGGCCCCGTGATCTGCACGGTCGCCATGGGGATCTCCACCAGGGGCGGCGCCACTGCCTCAGGAACAGAAGAAAAAAGCGACACCACCACCACCACCACCACAAGGGACACCACCAGCGGGATGAGCCGGGGGTTGCCCCCCCCTGGTGGTGTGCCCCCTCCCCCCCTCGAAGCTCGAAACATCCCCCATGCCCAGCTCGGAGGGGCATCTGGGGAGGCCACAAAAGGTACCGATTCCGCGACTCCCCGGACAAGGATCTCGAGAGGCGAATCCAGCGGTGGTGACGAGGGCCTCCCAGGAGACCGAAAAATGGAAACAACCAGGCGCGGATCCAAGAAATCCGCGCGGAGCGCCAAAAGTTTGTGGTCTTTCTTCTTCGAACTCCACAGTCGAGTCTGCTTGGAGAGTTCGGAGGCAACTACTGCGAGGTCTTCGTCGGAAGGACTACGGAGGATTAAGCCCCATTGGGGGGCTGTTACGCCGGAGTGGGCCTCGGACTCAGCGGGATTACGCCAGATTAAACGGGACTAAGCGGGATGAAGCCGGATTAGGGCGAAGGTCAGCTCCCCTGGTGGTCGTGGCCCCCTCTGGTGGTAGTGGTGCCGCGCCTCCTTCCCCCGAGCTCCCTGGCGGGCGGGGCGCGCGCCAGGCGCCCTCCCGGCTGGCTCTTCGAGCTGCGTCCGGCCGTGGCCAGCAGGCCCCCCCTTCGAGAGGCCCAGAGATAGGGCGGCGAGCTCTACACATGTCCACTGTTCCCTGTCCTCCTCCTCCTCCTCCTCCTCCTCCTCCTCCTCCTCCTCCTCCTCCTCCTCCATCAGAGGCCCGGATTCCGGCGCCCGATGGCTCCTGTTCCACCCCTCGGGCCTCGGCCGAATGCTCCCGACCAGTGGAGGCAAACCGTGGGGCAGAGGGGCCTCCGGCCCCACGCTTGCCAGACCCCATCCCTCTGCGGCACTCGTCGAGCCGCATCGCTCTGCGACGGCCCCCCGGGGGCCCGGAGACGGGCGCGCCAACGCCCGAAGGGCTGACGAAAACACGCATCGCCCGGACCCCTCAGGGAGTGGCCGCGGCCGCGGACCGCGAGGGCCTGCCGAGGGGGCCGCCCACGGCCCCACCCGCCGAGGGAGAGCCCGCCCGGGGCCGGCGCCTGCCCCGTGGGCACGGACGCGGTGCAGCAGACCACGCCCGCGGCGGAGCCCACGGGCGTCGGGGCGCGCGGCAGCGGCGACAGCGAGCGGGGCGGGCCGAGGTCGGCGTGCAGCAGCGCGGGGGGGGCGATGCCCCGGCAGCGCGGCGGCGCGCTCTGCTCGCGCACCACCTCTGCGGGGGGGGGGGGGACGGGCACGGGCACCGTCGGCGGCTGCAGCAGCTCCTCCTCCTCCCTCATCCTTTTTCCTCATAGAGAGCTCCTCCCCGTCGCACCCCGAGGCGTGTCGGTATAGGGCGGGCCGGGCACGTCGTCTGGGCCAGCCTCGCCATCCACGATCCTCAAGCTAAAATGCGCAAGTGCGTCACTGATGGAGGGTGGGCCGTTTTCAAAATGTTGCCCTCGCTTCAGCGGCGCGCACACATGCGTCTTAACAGTTTGCAAGAGCTTCACGAGACAGGTGTGGGAGTTCCAAACCCCCTGCAAAACCAAAAACACATGCAAAAACCTAGTGTTTGTGCGTGTGTTTTGTTGCAGTTCCCCCCAAGAGCGGGGGAGGAGCTCGCTATGCTCCTACTCCAGCTCATGGGTACCCATGACCACGTCGCTGTCGAGGTAGACTTCGTTGGGCTTGGCGGCATCGTCATCGCTGAGCTGTTCTGCCACCATGCAGGCATAAGCTCCAACATCAACTCCACCGCCATACTTCATGATGTGTTTCGCCCAGGCCGTGCAAACCGGTTCTGGGTACAACGCGGCGGTGGCGACTGCGGGGCATCCGATGATCTCCCCATGCTCGCGGCTGCCACGTCACGCCGCCCCGTCGTTGCGCCTCTTGCCCATCGCCTTCTCCAGCTCACAATCTGTCGAGCAAACTCGCCAGACCTTGTTCAATAAAGAACGGTGCGCGGACGTCGCAGGCCGCAGGAACATCCTAGGACGAGAACCCCGAACGCTTGCCCACGCACGCGTCGGAGCGAGGGGGACCGACTCCAGTTCTGAGAACGCTGGGGCTGCTCGACGTACACCTCGGCCCAGTCGATCCCCAAGCGAACCGACAGTAGAGTCTCATCCATGTTGAATGCGACGAGTTTGTTTCACGTTGGTCCTGAGGCGCTCGGCCTCGAGCGGCGGTCGAGCGGCGGTCGAGCGAGGAGGAGGAGGAGGAGGAGGACGAGGAGGAGGACGAGTATGTTTCACGAGCGAGGAGGAGGAGGAGGAGGAGGAGGAGGAGGAGGAGGAGGAGGAGGCGCTCGGCCTCGAGCGAGGTGGACTTGTTCCGGTTCTGGGGTATGCAGTCGGCCGCGAACGGCGGGCTCACGCCGATCCTCCTCGGACGGCGCAGGCGAAGCCAGCGTGCCGGGCGGCGCACTCCCGCTTTGTTCTAGCATTGCTCCCTGCACGCGCAATGGCAAGAAACACTAGTCCGAATTTGGACGCCCGAAATGGGTACGGAAAGAATGGGCACTATGCCCAACAACCAATGTTGTCCCAAACCAACAGCGGCCGCTGTTGGGCGGGCGGCCTCCTGTCTCGAATGGACACAAGCCGCGGCGGCGTGGACAGCGGATCTTGTTCAAAATGAACAAGATCCGCTGTTGGGCATAGTACCCATTCTTTCAGTACCCATTTCGGGCGTCCAGATCGAAAGCAGCACCAGCTGCAGCAGCAGCCGGCGGCGCACTCCTGCCCGGGCCCCGACGCCGAAACTGTTGCGCAGCCATGCCCGGCAGGCCTTGACCACACAGACCCTGGACAGCTTGGGCGGGCCTCGAAGTCGTAGGTACCCAGACTTCCAATAGGTCGAAGCGGCCAGTGCCGGCCAGGAAATCCAGGTCGCCGTCGATCTCCTGGCGGCCGTCGCGCATGGTCACCTCCGCGACGCGCAGGAAGACCTCGAGGTCCGAGGCGTTCAGACAGCTTCCCGCCCGCGATTCGCTGCAGCGCGCGTCGGCTCCAGGTCACCCAGCAGGTAGTCGCCGCCCTCCTCAGGCACGGCCAGGAACCCTGCCCCCGCTTAGGTCGCGACCTTGACGACGAGGCGCCGCCACCTGATAGTCGGCCCGTCGGACCGGGCCACATGAGGTGGAGCGGGCGGCCTTGACGCCAATGCCTAGCTCATCGCCGACGATGGCCCCTGGACGCCTCGAGTCGGCGGGGCCCTCAGCTTGGCCTCGGGCGCGTCGCTCTCCGTTCCGTAGCTATCCGCGACATTGCGGGGCGCCCCCACCCCGCCGGCGGGCACAAATCCGAATAACCATCAAACACTACCAAAACCCGAGACAACACTCAGACGCAAAAAATCATAACAGCTGTGCAGGGGGAGGGGGGGGAGGGGAACTGACAGACCCTACTGACCTTCACGGATGGAGGGCGGGCCGTTTTCAAAATGTGGCTCTCGCCAAGGAGCCGCGCACAGTCGTTGCACAGGCTTGCAAGAGTTTTACGAATGGAGGGCGGCTCCTTTTCAACATGTAGCTCTCGCCGAGGAGCCGCGCACTTTCGTGGTTGAAGTTTGCCAGAGCTTCACAGATGGAGGGCGGCTCCATTTCAAAATGTGGATCTCGCCTTAGCGCAGCGCACATTCGTCTCAAGAGATCACAGAAGTTTCAAGGATTCTTGTGACTCACGTCCCAGAAGTTGCGTTTTGGCGAGATCTAGGACTGTCAAGGCGCAGCAGTCATGTTGATTCACGGTGTTGGAGTCCCACGAATGACTTTCTGGCACGATTCAGGATCGGCAGGACGCAACAAGAATGATGATTCGCGGCGTTGAAAACCACAGAATGGTGCTTTGGCGCGGTGGAGGATTCCCAGACGGTTGTCTTCCAACGGGGCATTTCCCTCGGTGAAGATGACTCCTTCTGGGGACCTATGAGGAGAGAGCTTGGAGGGTTGCAACATCTTTGATGAGTCTTGGATTTGCTCTGGTCCTCCTCCTGCTCCTCCTCCTGCTCCTGCTCCTATTCTCCCTTCACCTCCTCCTCCTCCTCCACCACCTCCTCCTCGATCCTCCTCCTCCTCCTCCTTCTCCTCCTCCTCCTCCTCCTCCTCCTCCTCCTCCTCCTGATCATCCTGCTCCTCTTACACCTCCCCATGAGCTGTTGCAGCCGTCGACGGGCGAATAGCCCAGGGAGGAGTGCCGGGCGGATAGCCCAAGGCTAGAGGGAAAGAGCATGCAATGTTCGGCCTCCGCGGCCCTTGGCGGACTCGGGACCGTCAAAAGGACTCGGGATGAAAAACCGGTTCTGGTGAGGGGGTCGAGACCTGCGGGGGTCCACGCTGCGCAAGAATCACGACGTCGGGGTCTGGGAACGTCGGTGCCGGTCTTGGTCATCGGCCAGCGTGATCGTCGTCGTGAGCTCGTGGATCACCCGCGCACATCGGCGACGGCTCGCAGGACCAGGATCGGCGTTGAAGCAACAGGAGGAGCAGCAGGGGAGCCGCGAGGAGGATGAGGGAGAAGGGATGGTGATGATGGTTGTGATGATGATGGTGATGATGATGATGATGATGATGATGACGATGATGATGATGCTGATGATGCTGATGATGGTGGTGATGATAATGATTATGCTGATGATAATGATGATGATGCTGATGATGCTGATGATGATGCTGATGAGGATGCTGATTATGCTGAGAATGATTGTGATGAGTGTGATGGATGGTGATGATGGTGTTGATGGTGATGATGGTAATGACGACGCTGATGACGATGCCGATGACGATGATGACGATGATGACGATGATGACGATGATGACGATGATGACGATGATGAACATGATGACGATGATAACGATGATGACGACGAAGATAATGATAATCATAGTGACGATGATGATAATGGTGATGGTGATCATTGTGATCCTGAGACTGGTGATATTGATGATATTGATAGTAGTGGTGACACTGATGATGTCGACGACGACGACGACGACGACGACGACGAGGACGACAACGACGAAAGGAGAAGGAGGAGGAGGAGAATATCTGGTTTCATGGCCAGAGCTCGGGTCTCTGGCGGCCGTTCGAGGCAATCTGGGCACCCCCGGGACGCCCTTGGCGAGGCGAAGCTGCAGGAACGCATCTCGAGGCAGGGGAATCTCCAGGAACTGACAACAACGTCCGAAATCCCACTTCCTTCCTGCCTCCCTGGGGCAGAGGAGGAGGAGGAACAGAGGAGGAACAGAGGAGGAACAGAGGAGGAACAGAGGAGGAGGACGAGGAGGAGGAGAAGGGGGAGGAGGGGGAGGGGGAGGGGGAGGTGGATCAGGAGTGAGGAGGAGACTGGGGCGGAGGAGGAGGAACAGAGAAGGAGGACGAGGAGGAGGAGGAGGAGAACAAGTGAGGAGGAGGAGGAGGAGGAGGAGGAGGAGGAGGAGGAGCAAGAGGTGGAGGAGGAGAAGGAGGAAGCACCTGGAGCCCCTGGAACCTCCCGGAGGGCCCCGTCCCCGCCCGCCGTGGCGGGCGCTGCGAACAGCCTCGGCGGCATCGCCGGGGTGAGCATCTGCGTCGCGACGGGCTCCGAGAGCCTCTCGCGCCGGAGTCGGGGGGGGAGGGGGGGGCGCGTTTAGGTGGGGGGGGGAGGGGAGGGGCACCGACTCGGTGGGGAGGGGTGCGGCAGGGCGTTAGGGGGGGGAAGGGGGCACCGACTCGGTGGGGGGGGGGGGGGGGCGTCAGGGCGAGCGTTCAGCGGGGGGGGGGTTCTGGGGGGGCGTTTGGGGGGGGGGGGAGCGTTTAGAGGTGACGTTTGGGAGGCGTTCAAGGAGGGAGGCGGGAGGGGGCGTTTAGGGGGGAAGGAGACGTCGAGCTGCAGTCGGCGGTACACTGGGACGCGGAAGGACAGACTGGCACCATGCGCCCTCCTCGGAGGCGTACGCCCGAGCCGAGTAGATACGGCACGGCACAGGCACCTTGCAGCTCGCAGTGTTATCCGGGCCTCGGGAGAAGTCCGCGAGCACGCATGCCGCATTCAGCTGTCGATGCCCCCCCCAATGATCAACGTTGGCGGTGGGCTGGATGAGCTGCACCTCGACCGCGGCCTTCCCCGCGAGTGCCAACTGTGAGCTTGGGGGGGCGGGGGGGGTCCACTACGCAACTGTCTCCCCCGACCGTCGCTTCCCGAACGACACGGCCAGCAATCCGCCCGACACGGGGCCTGGAGCCTACGCTGTCAGATTCCCGAGCGCGTGCGTCGCCCTTGCGCGGCCGACGCACAGATCGCACAGTCAGCCCGCATCAGAAGGATGCGCGGTGAGGACGCAGGGGCCTTGGAGGCCCGTGTTAGCGTTGCTCGAGCGAGGCTGGCCAGCGAAAGCCGCTAAGGATGGGCCGAAGGAGAAAGGATGCGATGGAGGGTTGCCCATCCTTCCGATACGGGCTGACTGTATGCGTAGGCCTGGGTGGTGCCAGATACAGCGGAGGCCAGTCCACGAGAAACCTTCCACAAGAAACCCAACCCTGAGACCCCAGGACGTCCATTGCTTTCTGGTGTTGGGACGCCGCGCCCTCCATCGCAAAACCGTCGATACCCGAGAGACCTTGGGCGCCCTGGAGGAGAGCAGGGCGCTACTTGGCATGGGCCTCCACTGTGGTGTACCACGCATGTTGCTGCACGTCGCTGCCCCATACAGACTGGAGGACACATGGTGCGCCGCGCGCCACGCAGGCTGCGGACCGCACAGCCGGTGCCCATGCACGCTTCAGCGTCGGCGGCTAGGCAGGGGACGTCTGCGCTGGCGATGGGATGCCTACACGGGGATGTCGTTGGAGCGAGCTGTGCCACCGTGCCACTGCTCTGCTAGGGGAACAAAAAGTGGCATAAACATAAAAACTCGGAGGTCCGCGCGGATTCCTCGGATCGGCGCTGGGGCCCCACGGCGGCGCCTCCGGCGCCGCCCCTGGCGCGCTCCGCGCGCCAGGGAGGCGGGCCCCAGCGCCGATCCGAGAAATCCGCGCGGGCCTCCGAGCTTTTATGCCTCTGCCACTTTTCGTTCCCCTATCTGCACCCAGGGCGTGGGCTTCCATCGCCGACGGATCGGCGATGCGCCCCCGATGGGGCGCCCCGCTCGGCTCTGGGCGGGGCGGGCGTTGGAGCGAGAGTTGTGCCACCGTGCCACTGCTCTGCACACCAGGGCGTGGGCTCTTCCACTGCACCTCGCCGACGGATCGGCGAGGCGCCCCCGAAGGGGACGCCCCGCTCGGCGGCTGGGGCGGGGCGGGCCACGGGGCCGCCCAAGAGCGGCGACGCGTGGGCGAAGGCGGGCCGAGGCGTCCCCCCCTCTGACGTTGGCTCGGGCAGGTCCTCCGACGGGCGGAGGTTGGACGAAAGGTGAAACAATCTCAGGAAGTACCCCCAAAATAATCCGAAAATGCTCCACGAATCGTCCCCGGACGATGTTTGTACTATTTTGGGATATTCTCTGCGAGGCGTCTGCAGAAGAAGAGATTACGGCATAGGCATAGCCTTTTGGCGCTCCGCGCGGATATCGTGGATCTGCACTGGACCCCCCTCGCGCCAGGGGCCGCGCCGGAGGCGCCACCGGGCGGGCCCTGGGGCGCCGATCCAAGGAATCCGCGCGGAGCGCCAAAAAGTTTATGTTTATGTCCTTCTTTCTTCTTCGATTCTGTGCGCCGCCAGAATCAATTACCGATGGGTCGTTTTCCAGGGACTCGTGGGGCAGTGGGTGTGGATGCCGGCCCGCCCACGCCGGCGGGCAGATACCCATGCCCACCGCTCCTCGGGACCGCACGGCACGGCCCCGAAGCGGTGGATACGGACAGTTCCTGGCGGCGGGTTCTGGGCGTCTTCGCAGTTCTTCCAGCCCCGGGGTGCTTTCCAACAGCTGCGCCTCGGGGGCAGCGTTCTGGGGGCCGGCCTTTCCCACGATCGCTCCGATCGGCCGCCAGACCTGGGCGCTAGGATCAGGTCGGGCATGTCCTCCCACAGGCGGCTCTCGGAAGACAACAGAGAACTGCCCACAAGTGTTCCACAGATGATCCAAAAAATAGTCCAGAAAGATCGTCCCCCGACTGTTCTGTCCTCCGGCGGCGGGGCCAGAGCCCCTCGGAGTGCTGCAGCTTCTCGCTTTCGAGGTCCGCGAGGGCGCCGCGTTGCCGGGGTCTCTTGCGCTGCCCCCGGGGCCTCCTCCTCCTCCTCCTCCTCCTCCTTACTCTCCTCCCTCCTCTCCTCCTCCTCCTCCCCCTCCTCCTCCTCCTCCCTCCTCCTCCTCCTCCTCCTCCTCCTACCTCCTCCTCCTCAACCTCCTCCTCTCCTCCTCCTCCTCCCTCCTCCTCCTCCTCCTCCTCCTCCTCCTCCTCCTCCTCCTCCTCCTCTCCTCCCCTGTCCTCCTCCTCCTCCTCCTCCTCCTCCTCCTCCTCTCCTCCTCCTCCTCCTCCTCCTCCTCCTCCTCCTCCTCCTCCTCCTGCGCACCACCGCATGTAGGGGGCGGGGTCCAGGCCCACCCCCACTCGTACGATCGTTAGCGTTGGCGTTGCCCGGGGGGAAACGAGCGCCAGCCTAGGGAGGAGACGAGAAGCAAAAACACAACAGCTATATATAGATATATGTATATACATATTATAGGTATGTTGAAGTGTGTTTTTTGTTTTGTGAATGTAACTGCTTATACATGTATCTAGGATTAGGCCACACACGGGAAGAAAACATTCAACAACAGCAGCAGCAGCAGCAACAACAACAACAACAACAACCACAGCAGCAACAGCAACAACAGCAACAACAGCAAACATAACAACAGCAACAACAACAACAACAACAACAACAACAACAACAACAACAACAACAACAACAACAACAACAACAACAACAACCACAACCACAACCACAACCACAACAACAACAACAACAACAACAACAACAACAACCACCACCACCACCACACCCCACCACAAACCACAACAACAACAAAAACAACAACAACAACAACAAACAACACAACAACAACAACAACAACAACAAACAGCCACAAAAGGGCTCTCGATGCTTCCACTAGCGCCGGCTCGCATCCGAGCGAATGTACCTGGTCGACGGCCCCGAGGCCCCGCAGCCGGCATCCCCGGAGGGGAAACAGCGCGACACAAGGGTATTACACCACCACCACCTCACTCATTTCGCCTCCGCTCCCAGAGAAGGGAGGAGGAGGAGGAGGAGGAGGAGGGGAGGAGGAGAGGAGGAGGAGGAGGAGGAGGAGGAGGAGGAGGAGGTGGAGGAGGAGGGAGGAGGAGGAGGGTGGAGAGCGAGGGAGGGAGGAAGGCGGAGGAGGAGTAGAGGAGGAGGAGGAGGAGGGAGGAGGAGGGGGGGGTGTTTTTTTTTTGGGGGGGGGTGGAGGAGGCGGGAGGAGAGAGGAGGGCCAACACGGCGGAAGAGGAGGGAGGGGGAGGAGGGTGGCCTCCCTCCCCACAAGTCCCCTCCCTCTCCCAAGGAAAGAGGGAGAGGAGGATGAGGGGGGAGGAGGCTGGAGGAATCGACGTGGTGGTGGCGTAGACTCCTGGGACCCGCGGAGGAGGGGCGCCACGCCGGCCAACCCGACTGGCTCGAGGTGCCGGAGGCCCGGCCCCCTCTGGGCCCAGACGCGCACCTCTGGCGGCCGCTCGAGACGATGAGGACGGCTGGGTCGCATCTCGGGGCAGGGAAACCTCCAGGAATCCTCCTCCTCCTCCCTCCTCCTCCTCCTCCTCCTCCTCCTCCTCCTCCTCCTCCTCCTCCAAGAACCGGAGAAGACGGCCGAACACCTGGAACTAAAACAACGTCTGTCAAAGCCCCGCGCCTGGACCCATCCTGGGGTGCGGAGCGGATCCAGCCGTGGCCACGGCCGAAAAATGCGGAACACCTCACAAAACAGCCTCGGCCCTCGATCTTCGAACCGATCCTCCCGGAAGGCGTCCCTCGCTCCTCGAAGCGGTCCCCACTCTGAGCGGCCGCCGAGGTCTGTTTGTGGTCAGCCATTGGCAAAGCAAGGCAGGGTCCGATCGCGCGCGGAGGCCGCACGAGCCCCGGAGGAGGAGACGGCGTTGGAAGTTCGCAACGGAACACACCCCTCTGAAGACCGAAGCTGCAAGAAGCTACTGCGACCCGTTGGAGCCACCGTTGGAAGATGACCCCCCGACGCGAGGCCGAAGCCCACCAGGCACGCCAGGAACCTCGCACGGGATGTCGCCGAGAGCGCGGACGCCAACAGCAGACAAAAGAAAAGGCAGGGGAGACAGCAGAAGGCCGGGGACAACCGGGGGAGGACCGAAGGGCCGAAGGTCAACGATCGGGGGGCACCGGCTCCGCAGGGCAGCCGTCGACCAGGCATCGGCGGCACCTCGCCGAAGGATCGACGACGGAGCCCCGGCAGCGAATCCGCACCCTCCTGGGCGGGGTGGGGATGATCGGGCCCGTCGGCGATGCATGGGCGATTTGGTGGTCGATGCATTCCCCCGTGAGCCTATTTGGCGGCGCGCAGAGGGGGGTAGGGGGAGGGGGGAAGGCTTTTTAGAAGCACCCCCGCTTCTTAGAAGGCCTCGGCCTTACGTCTATAGAGAAGGCCCGCGCCTTCTAAGAAGCAGGGGTGCTTCTAAGAAGCCTTCCCCCCTCCCCCAACCCCCCACTGCGCGCCGCCGACCTACCCCCCCCTAGCGCCCAGCGTTGCCCTTTGGTTTTTGGGGTCCTGCCTCGGCTCTCGGGCGGTCGCTCGGGACGATCCGGGCAGGCCCTGGAACGCTCTCGGCGAGGCGCAGCTGCTGGAGAGCACCCCGAGGCTGGAAAGCCGCCGAGAACCGACGAGAATGGCTGACAACCTCGAACCTCGACACTTCGATCAGAGGTCGAACCTCGAACCTCGAACCTCGAAATCCCTGGAACTCTCCTAGGGCGCGTTATGACCAGCAATTCGAGCCAAATCCAGTCGGGGCCACGAGGGCGCCCCAGGACGCCCACGATGACCCCTGGATGGCGGCGTCACCCCTGACGTCCGAAAACCTGTCGACACATCGGCCCCTCCTGAGAGGGTGAGATCGGGCATGTCCCCCTACCGGCGGATTTCAGGAGAAAAATTAAAGTTACGGAAAAAGACCCAAAAATAGTCCAAAAGATCGCCCCCTGACTATATCTTTTACTATCTTTGAATAAGATTCCGCCTGTCGAGGGACACGCTGCGCTTGCTTCATGGAGAGGACGAGGCCACGGAGCGAGCCGAGGCCTGGTGGTCTGCACCAGCGCGGGCTGCTGCACCGCCGGCGGGGGCCGCACCACCGGCGCGCCGTGCTGCGCCGCCGTCGGCGGGGCGGAGAACACCACTGGCGTGGGCGGCGAGGTCGCGGGCGCCTCCGGGAGAGAGAGAGAGAGAGAGAGAGAAAGCTTTTAGGCCGGGCGTGTCCTCCTGCAGGCGGATTTAGGGCGAAAGATAAACAAGCGAACCAGAATAAAAAAATGCCCCGCAATGCCCAGAAGTTCGTCCCCTGGCCATTGCTTGACTACTCTAGGATATCCCTCCTGTCGAGGGACAGGCCCGACCTAAGACTGCCTACCAGACCACCCCAACCCAACCCGAGGGCCCGAATTCCGGGTTGGGGGGGTACGGGCCTCATCTGTCTTTTGCAAGATGGTCCCCGGCCCCCCCCCCCACACTGGAACCGGAGAGCAGATCGGGGCCTTCGAGTTGGGTTGGGGTGGCTTGGTGGGCGGCGAGAGAGAGAGAGAGAGCTGTGCGCGCACACCGACCCTGGCTGGGCCCATCCTCCAGGAGCCCGTGCGCTCGTCCTTCGCGACAGCGCCCGCGACCGGCCCCGCCCCTCCCCACTCCCCCCCGTGTGTAGCCCCCTGAACACGCCACGCTGCGCGCGCTGGCGCCGCCCGGGAACGAGCTATAGTCTTAGGCATTCCCGGCCGGCGCCGGCGCGAATCTCGCGACGTGGCCAGCCCCCTCCCCCCCCTCCCCCCGCGGGCACGCCCGTCAGCGCCAGGGAATGGAAAAACGCGCTTCCCTGGCTGGCCCCATCCTCCAAAGGGAGGATGGATGTACACCGACGTGCCGCGAGGCACGCGGTGGGATGTCCTCGGGACCCTGGGAGTCCTCTCTGTGGAACAATGAATACTCCGAGTGTATTCATAAGCGTCGGGGGGGCGTCACCCCCGCCGACAGCCCCGCATCGACGTCGCCGCGGGCAGCCACCGCGCGCCGAAGGCGCTTGGACCCCCGTCGCGGTGCGACGCCGAGGCGAGGTTGACCCCCGTCGGGGGGGGGGATACCCCTCCACGCGTACTAGGAAACCTAGAGTACTCCAGATTTCGTGATAAAAGGGAGGGGGTCTGGACCCTCCAAGACAAGCCATTTCAGACCTCCCCCGTGGGAGAACCCTCCAAAACGTCGTCCCCAGACCCCCCCAGGCCCTCCAAGATAGCCTGGAAGAGACCCCCCCCGAAATGAGACCCCCCTCCCTTTATTACGAAACCTGGAGTACTCTCTAGCGGGCCCAGGGCCTCGCGTTCTGGGCGCTCCTGGGCGCATCCGGGACCTGGCGCGGCTAAAAAACTGCTTGGAAGCAAGGAGGCCCCCCAAAACTGGCCGCGAGGGCAGCACCAGGCACCCAAGATGGTCGAGTAGGCCTTCGAGTCGCCCACTGATCGCTCGAAGATCCCCAGGATGACCTCCAGGCGGCCCAAGAGGCCCCGAAGGCGCCCCAGAAAGGCTCCAGGAGGTTCCCAAGAGGGCCCCGAAATGCCAAAGTCCTTGTTTTTTGTTCAAATGCGTTCGAAGTATATAAACGTTTTCGCCTTTCCGGACTTCCGACGCTCCAAAACGGTCCGAGAGGCCCCCAAGATCGCCCCGAGATGGCCCAAGAGGCCTTCAAGAGGGCCCCCCGACAGCCCAAGAGGCCCCCCAGACTGCCCAAGAGGGCCCCAAGGGGACCCCAAGAGAGGGCCCAAGAGAGAGCCCTGAGTTCGAGCCCTTCGTTCCAAGGTGACCCCCGAGACCGCCAGCAGGCCCCCAAGAGGCACCCCCGAAGCTCCAGGAGACACCAGAGAGGCCCACATCAGGCCACGGGAAGCCGACAGGACGCTCCCGAGATGCCCCCCGGACGCCCCCAAGCCGCCCCCCGAGAGGTTTCCGAGAGGCCTCCCGAGAGATCCCCAACGAGCATCCTGGGACGCCTCCGACCTGCGACCCGGGCACGGCGGCGGGCTGGGCCTCAGGCCACGAGGATACAGACACCGCTGCCCTTCCCTTGTCGCCGCGGCTGGGTTCGCCTCGCAGACATGGCTGGGTCGGGCATGTCCTCCCACAGGCGGGTGTTGGAAGAACAATGAAGATCGTCAAACAAAAGATCTACGCACAAAAAAAAACATCAAAAAGCAGTCGATGACATCGTCCCCCAAGGCTATTCCTGGACAGTGTTCGAAGATTCCCCCTGTGGAGGGGCATGCCCGACTAGAAAGCATGGCCGGAGCACACCTCTGGAGCGACAGGGGAGCAGCGGCATCGGCATCCTGGCGTCCCCCCGAGCCTGGGCCGCGGGATCGGGGCACGCGCCCCCCTCTGGCCTGGCCAGAGAGGCGCCGGGGCTCGAGCGAAACAGAGTTACTCGTTTTCGTGGTTTGCTTTCTCTTGTCCTTCGCTCTGTGTTCGTTCTGCCTTCTTTGCCGCGAGGCGAAGCCAAAACGAAGACGGTCCACGACGTGGCCGAAGCATCGCGCAGGTCGAGCCCTGGGAGAGGCGCAAGAGGCACCGCTCCTGGGGCCCAGAGGATGGGCCGGAGCCAGGGCCCGGGAAGCGCGGCGTGTGGCTTTCTCGCGGCCCGAGCCTCGGGCAGGGCAGGCGTAGGCGGATTGGGCGGCACCTCTCGGGAGGCCCGAAATGGGGATGGGCGGGACCACTGGGCACGATGACCAACTCGGGCTGACCCAGAAGGGGGTCCAGCGACAAGGGGGTGGTGCAATGGATCTGGTGCAATAGATATGTGGGGTTGCAGTGCATGTGGGGCGTGCAACACATTCCGGGGCGCAGATGTATTGCCGTATTTTCGCGTGCAGTACATTACTTGCAATACAACGCAATACAATTCTCCAGCGCAATACATTTGCAATACAAGTGCCCCCAATATATTGCACCACCCCCTTTCAGCTGGACCCCCTTTCGGGTCACCCAAACCAACAGCAGATGCTGCCCAACATCGGCAGCGGCCGATGTGAGGCAGGCGGCCATATTCAAGTGGACGGCGCCGGCGACAGAGTCGGCAACGAGTCCTGCGCAAACACAACGGACAACATCTGCTGTCGGACTCCGTCCTCAGACTCGAGACAAGGATGATGCTATGATGCCAAAAGCCGTAGGATGCATTCCAGGAGGTCCAGGGTATCTAGCGGTCCCTATTTCTCCAGTCCACGCGAAGCAACCGACAAAACATAAAATCTGTCAAACCCGCCGAACATGTCGGCGTGTGCGATGCGTTTTTCCGCTGGAGTGGTCGTCGTCGTCGTCGTCGCCATCGCCGCTCTCCGCCTTTCCCTGGGCCCGCCTCCTCAAGCGACTCAGCCAGACAAATCAAACCGACCTCGTAATTTAGAAGAAGAAGAAGAAGAAAACACACAATAAATGTAAACTTTCGGCGCTCCGCACGAATTTTCTGGATCTGCGCTGGACCCCCCCTCCCTGGCGAGCGGAGCGCGCCAGGGGCGGCGCCGGAGGCGCCGCCGAGGGGGCCCAGCGCGGATCCAAGAAATCCACGCGGAGCGCCAAAAGTTTATGTTTATGTGTTTCCTTCTTCGATAGTTAGTTCGAAGGGAAGCCCCTCCCCTTGGATCCTCTCCCCGCGACGGGGGGGGCTTCGCGAGGGGAAGGGGGTGGCCCGGGGGGGAGGGGTCCCCGCGGGGGGGGACCCCCTGGGGTCGTGACCCCCCCCCCCCAATCTCCGACCCCGACGGCCCCAAGAGAGCCCCACGGAGCCGCAAGAGATGGTGGAGCACCGATTGAGGCGAAGGAAGGGCCCTTGGTCCCTGACCCGCCCCAGGGGTGAGGGGGCGATCCCAGGAGGGGGATCGCTGGGGGCAGCCACGGGGGGGGTCCCAGGGGGGGGGCCCGAGGCCAACAGGGCCCACGAGTGCCCCCACGAGGGCTCGCGAGCGCCGTCGTCGCCGTCGTCGCCGCCGCCACCCTTCAGGATCGGCGGCGCTGGCCGTGAGGCCTTCCCAGTGTTGAACGTATCGGTATCACGACCTCTTGCTCAAGATATACGACAGGGCGGGGGGGGCGTCCATCCTCGATAGGGGACCGAATAGCCCCGGGAGGTGTACCCCCAAGTCGCACCAGCCCTTTGGGCGACAGGTGGTCTAACGAGGGTCCTCTTCCACAACCCCTCTTCCCTTCGGGGAGGGGAACCCTCCCCCTCCCCTCTCTGAGGTTTGGGGAGGGATCGCGAGGTGTCGGAGGCTCCCGTTTTCGGCCATTGGGGGAGCCATCTCGTGTCACCCCTCACGAGGATCGTGGCCCCCCAGGGGGTACCCAAATCGAATACCCCCCCTCTTTTGACCGACCGCCTCCAAGATGGCCCCAAGAGGCCCTCGAGGGCTCCCAAGAGGCTTCCAAGAGGGCTCCAAGAGGCACCCGAGCGGCACCCAAGAGGCCCCCGAGCGACCTCAGAGCCCAAGATGACCTCCAAGATAGCCCAGATAGCCCAAGCTGGCTCAAGATGGCTCCCAAGATGCTCCAAGCGGCCCCAGGACCGCTCCAAGACGTCTCGAGATGGCCACAGAGCCTCCCAAGCCTCCCTCGCTGTTCGACCATGCGCGTCTCTTCACCTCTCCCCCCGTCAACTCTCCTGGGCAGCGTTTCTGGAGGGGCTGCTGGGGACACGCGACGCGTCAAGAAGTCCCCTCTCCTGCTCTGCGCGAAGGGGGAGGGGGAGGGGGAGGGGGAGGGGGATGGGGGAGGGAGAGGGGGAGGTGGAGGGGGAGGGGGAGAGGGGGAGGGGGAGGAGGAGGAGGAGGAGGAGGAGGAGGGAGGAGGAGGAGGAGGAGGGAGGAGGAGGAGGAGGATGAGGAGGAGGAGGAGGAGGCGGAGGAGGAGGAGGAGGGAGGAGGAGGAGGCGGAGGAGGAGGAGGACTGGGGGGGGGCGGCCGGGGCCCGTGGGGCGAGACACCGGCTGCGAGGCCTGCCGTCGGGCTTCGCCCCCGGAGTCAGAAGGGAGGCGCCAGTGCACCGCACCGCGGTCGGACTCCTGCTGGGGCCCGACGGCGACGAGCCATCGACGAGCGCGCTCCGCTGCTCGCAGAGTAACTACTCGCAGATGACCTGGATACCCCGCGGGGCATCTGCGATGAATTTCGTCAAAGCGGACATATGTGTATATATATATATGTGCATATATGTATATATCGAGCGTTTGCGAATGGGTACTTTGCGAGTAGTGGGAGCGCGCTCGGCGAAGCAAAGCACATGGCTTGTTGGCCCCGAGGGTCGAGAAACCACATGCGCCGTGCCCTTCCTGGGCCAGGGGAGCCGACGACGCGCCGGGGGAGGCGCCAGCGCGGCACGGTGCACAGAAGTCGCCCGTGGGGGGGCCCTTCTTCGCGTGCCCTCAGGTCGGCCATGTCCCCCCCACACAGGGGGAGCATGGACGGGAAAAGAACGAAAGTGCTCAAAACATAGTCCAAAAAAATAATCAAAAATTGTCAAAACAACTCGTCCTCAGACTGTATGTTTACTGTTCTTGCATGTTCCCCCCTGGGCAGGGAGAGGCCCGACTGGCACGTGCCCACCTCCCGGCCACACGCAGCGGAGGGGCCCCCAGGCAGGAATGACCTCCGGTGCGCGGCCTGCCGGCCGCTGCCTGCGAGGAGACCGAGGGCGGCCTGCGTGTTTGAAGGGGCCCCAGGACACACAAATAAATACACACAAATAAAAATATTCCCCATATTTTCCCATATTTTCGGGGTTTCTGTCTTCCCCCCCACTTCCCATATTTTCCCGTATTTTCTGGGGAATCGAGGATTAATTGTGTCTGTGTGTTTCTTTTCCTCCTGAGTGTTCGGGTGTCGCCCCCATCCCTGGTGGGACACACGGGACGCACAGGGACGCACCAATGCCATACCGGCCATCGCTCGGACGTCCATTCCCTGTGTTTTTTGGGTGGTTTCGTGCGTGGCTTCTTCGCCACATGGTCAAGGATGCTCCTCGATGGTCCTCGCCGAGGAAAAAATGCACGCGTCCGAGCGATGCCGAGCATATGTTCTCCTCGGAGGTGCGCGTCCGACCCGAACCGCACGGTATAGGGGCCAGAAGTGATTATCTTTCACTGGTCGGCCTGTAGATTTTGATTTGCTGGCCATGCCCACATGATCGCTGATCGCGATGAGGCCGACATCTTCGCGACGCGACGCCAAGTGTGCGAACCGACCGAGCTTGCAATTTGAAGGAGCGCCCAGCACTGCGTCGCACGACAATTGGACATCATGTCCCGCCGCCTGCAGGAAACCATTCAGGCGCCAATGGCGCTCTCTGGGCGGCCGGGGATCGCGGGGGGGTCCACGTCGTCCTGAACGCGCCGAGAAACGACCCTGGGCAGCCTTGAAATGCGCGCTGATTGAACGGGATCAAGCCGCGGCTATATAGGCACATGCGGCCCCAATGTCTGTTCGGGGGCCGCTCGAGTCAACTGAAGGGCCGATGCATCGCGCATCGCGTCGCTTTCTATCAGTAAATGAAAATGCATCTACAGCGCGCGCGTCGTTCTCGCGGAGCCCAGCAGCATCTTGCGATGGCCACGCTCGCTTGGTTTACGCGTTCCAAGGAGGCAGCAGGCAGCGAAACGAAGAGCGCGCCGTGTAATCATTCAATTAAGCGTCTGCGATCGAAAACCCAAAACAACAGTGAATGATAAATATTTCTGGTCCCGACGGTAGACCCATCTTGCAGCAGATCGTTTCCCGAGCGGGGTGGCCAGAAAGCGCCCGCCGCGGCGCATATACTATCTATAAGATTTCTCGGTGTGCGCGCGTCGCCCCTGAGGAGGCGACGTACATATAGTATAAGTCTGTTGGGGTGACGCCGACAACAAGGTACAGATACCGCTACTTCACGGACCTCTCCAGGGGTGCGTTCCGACCAGAATCTCGAGGTGAGCCCAGCCGTGGTGATGGCGGACGGGTAGCAGTAGCGGCAGCAGTAGCGGCAGCAACAAGTGGCACGCGCGCCCTGGCTCTTGCACCAAGGGGCTGCGAGGGACAGGAGGCTTCCGCCTCCTTCCTCCAGGAGCTTCCTTCCGTGGCTGGGGGATGAAGGGGGGGGAGGAGGACGAGCGACGAACGAGCGAACGACGACGACGAGAACAAAAAAGAGGCCCGAGCCGCTCGAGCCCCAGAGCACAGCTGTGCAGGAGAATCCGTCGTCCTCTCCTGACCCGGGCGCTGGTGGAACTGGGTCTAGTGGAACCTGGTCTAGTGATCTGTACCGGGGGCGCCCCCCCGCCCCGCTCCCACGAAGCGGAACTGCCATCACCCGAAAAAACACCCGCTGTGGCAAACCTGGTTTGGTGATGCTGGCCGATTCGAAAGCCCCGGGGGCCCTCACCACTGACCGGGCCCCCTCACCCGGGGCCCTGGCCATGCCCGACGGACGCTCCGCGCCCTCGCCCAACGCCGCGCACACCCCCACCGGGGGGGCCCCTCCCGCCAGATGCCGCGCTGCCGCAGCGCCGCCGAGCTTCGGCCCGCACGCCCGGCGAGCCTCGGGCAGCGACGCCAGGTGGCCCGTGCCCACCGCGCGCCACGGCTCCGCCTGCGAGGCCTGCCGGCGGAGCGGGCAGGGGGCGCGCGTGGGAGCCTCCGCCGCCGCCCCGATTCGGACGCCCGAAATGGGTACGGAAAGAATGGGTACAATGCCCAACAACAGATGCTGCCCCAAACCAACAGCGGCGGCTGTCGGGCAGGCGGCCTTCTGTCTCGAGTGGACACAGGCCGCGGCGGCGCGGACAGCGAGTCCTGTTCAAAATGAACAGGAACTGCTGTTGGGCATTGTACCCATTCTTTCCGTGCCCATCTCGTCCGTGCAGACCCGAGGCCCCAGAGGGCGTGCGCCCCGCCCTCGCCTGGGCGGCCGGGGCGGAGGAGGGAGGAGGAGCTCCAGGGAGGAGGAGGGGGGGGGAGGAGGGGAACGAGGAGGGGGGAGGAGAGAGGCAGGAGCAGGCCAGGAGGGGAACGGCTCCGCGGGGTCCGTGCTCCTCCATCCACTGGGAGGCAGGAGCGAGCAGGGAGGAGGGAGGAGGAAGAGGGAGGGACGAGGAGGAACTGGGGAAGGAGGAAGGAGGAGGAAGGGGCAGGTACGAGGAAGGGAGGAGGAGGAGGAGGAGGAGGAGGAGGAGGAGGAGGAGGAGCAACTCGGAGGGCTGACGCCGCCTGGCTCCCCGCGAGGTTGATGGGCCCGCCGAGCACGCTCTGCGACGCCACGGCCGTGCCCGTGACAGTACTCACAGCCGACCGGGGCACGACCGGGGAGTCCGGATGCTCGTTCATGCCGTGCGTCTCGACCTCCCGTGGGACTGCCTACCAGACCACCCCAGCCCGACCCGAGGTCCCAAGCTTCGGGTCGGGGGCGTACGGGCTCCCAGTGCTTTTTCGGTAGTCCGGGGTGTCCCCCCCCCCTGGGAGCGGAGAGCAACTTGTGTCCTTCGCGTTGGGTTGAGATGGTCTGGTGGGTCGTGAACGGCAGGGGGGACCAGCTCAGGGGGAGAAACATCGAGCTGGAATCGGCGGTACATCGCCGATGGATCGGCTATGGGCCCCCGATAACGCGTCCACACGTTCCTACGCGGGCGGGGGCCCTCGGGCCCCTATCGGACCTCCCGTGGAAGTCGACTGAGCAACGTTTCAACGATCCACATCCCCACTGGCGTGGCTTGGGCCCCACCAGGCAGATTTACACAGCTTGATGAGAATATAGGCTGTTATCTTCAGCATTCGATGGGCCCATCCCCAACAGGGGGGTGGGAGGGATGGTGGGGCTGGGGTGCCATGGCCCGGTGGGGATGGGGGTCGGTCAAACGACACTGATTGCCGGACGCTTTGAAAGCGGTTTTTAGTCTGTTCCCCACGGTTTTTGTCCAGCTTCGGGGCGCGTTCCAGCAGCTGCGCCTCGCCGAGAGGCGTCCCAGGGGTGCCCAGGAGCGTCCCGAGCGGCCGCCGGCGAGCGGAGTCATGACCCGAACGGAGTCCAGGGGGGCAACGATGTGGGGGTCGCGGGCAAGACGTATGCTGTTTCTTTCAGGGCTGGACCTGAACATTGCGTTTCGTTATGCTGTTTGTTTGTTGTTCGTTTTGCTCTACCTGTTGTCCTGTACCTCCCTGCCAAGACGAAAAACAAGACACAGCCGAAGTCCAGCAAGACAGCGTTTAGGTCCAGCCCTGGTTTCTTTGGGGAGCCATTCTTCAGTCTTGCCTGAACGTGGGGTAGCGGACGAGCTCGAGGCAGGCCGCGTCTGCAGTGGACGACGTACACGCAGTCACGAGCTTCGAGGCTGTCCGGGCGAAGCCCGAGTCGACACTCCAAGGTCTTTTGGGCGACGGGACGGCTTGGATCTCGTCCGTCAAATCGTGGTGCAATCTTCGATGATTGTTCTGCCTCAGTCCCTCTCCTCCATCCCCCTCCTCCCTGTTCCCTCCCTTCCCCTCCCCATCCCCCCTTCCCGGATTGTCTGTAGGTTTTCGCATCCTGCCCCATGGGGTACAAAGTCTTCCCAGTGTCTGCCACCGAGCCGCATGCAGATCAATCGACGACAAGATTTGTTTTTTCCGTTGCCCATGAATGCGAGCCGGCAAGGTTTGTGTGTGGTCCCAAGACGGCGTGGCCTAAATGAAAAAGCCGGTCTTCTGTAACACTCTGGGGTGTAGTCGATTGCTCCTCCCGGTGCAGTCGACTACGAGATATCACCTACATACCTGTATGTGTCTGTATGTGCTGCTTGTGCCCGCACGCCGCCCCCTGCCACACTTTTCCTCGCCAGCGCGCCGTCTGGGCGCGGCTGTCTGCCTGCCTGCCTGGGCGCCCCTCGGCAGGCCCTGCCCCGACCCTTCCTCGAGTCGTGACGAAGAAAAAACATCGCGGACGGGGGGCTCTCGGCCATGCTTGGCCCCGGGGGGGGGGGGGGGGGCCCTTGCTGGGCCCCGGGGCCGTCGACAGAGGGCTCGGGATGAGAACCCGGCCATAGGGGAAGAGGTCGAGACCTCTGGAGGTCCACTTTGTGAGAGAATCATGGCGTCGGAGGTCCGGGGAGTAGGACCAAAGAGAGGCGGTATCGCTACTACCACCACCACCACCAGCAGCGCGAGGTGCCAGAGAGGGTTCTCCTGGTGGAAGCGAGGCCCCTTTTTGGCCCCGAGAGCGCTTGGGTGCACGAGAAGCGCCAGAGAAGAACAGCCATGGGGGAAGACCCGAGGAGCAGCGAGCCACTTCTTTCAGCGTCTTTTTCGAGCAGCGGAAGGAAGCGGGTCCTGTCGACCAGGAGGTCAGGGAAGTCGTGTTGCCACTCGCTGGCCTCGAAGGCGCTCCACGGGCCCCTTGGGAGCTTCCAAGCGACTCCCGGTGAAGAGCTGGCCCTGGAGAGGGGAGGAGGCCGAGGAGTCTGGGACCCGTTTCTCTCAGGGCCCCCGTGCTCCTTCGCGGCGATCGCGAGAGCAGGATAGGACACGAGGCAGCGCCTCGGAAAAGGCCAGGAGGTGAACGCTCCGAAGCTTGTTGGTACCGTGGTCGACGCGGCATCGGCCACGGTAGCAACCGGCCGCCCCCTCAGCCTTGATCCTGACAAGAAGGGCCCTCGTTCCCTGTGCCACGCGGGGGAGCCCTCCGGCCACCACTGCCACTCAAGAGGAGGTGACGAGGGGGAGGGAGGAGGAGGGGGAGGGG